CCCGCGTCTCCTGCATCGGCAGGCGGACTCTCAAGCACTGCGCCACCAGGGAAGCCCGAGTGTCTTCTTTTTAAGGTAATTTTTTTTAGCCTCGTCCTCGCATGGCTGTTGTCTCTCACAGCACGGTCATCCATAGCATCTCCTCTCAGACTTTAACGGGCGCAGGAGTCACCTAGGGATCTTGTCAAAATGCCGATTCAGGGGCTTCCCTGGTGGCGCAGTGGTTGAGAGTCTGCCTGCCGATGCAGGGGACACGGGTTCGTGCCCCGTTCCGGGAAGATCCCACATGCCGTGGAGCGGCTGGGCCCGTGAGCCATGGGCCGCTGAGCCTGCGCGTCCGGAGCCTGTGCTGCGCAACGGGAGAGGCCACAACAGTGAGAGGCCCGCGTACCGCAAAAAAAAAAAAAAAATGCCGATTCAGGTTCAGTAGGTCTGGGGTCCAAGATCCTGTTTTTCTAACAGGCTCTCAGGTGAGACTGATGCTGCTAGCCCTCAAACCATATATATCCTTTGACATAAGAGTTTCATTTCCCGAGTTCCTTACACACAAAATACACTCCAACGGTAAGAAAGCATTTGGGTTTTTAGGGCACATTGCTGTGGGTCTTTGCAAAGAGCCCCTTGCCAGACCTCAGGTGTGTGACTCTGGTGTCAGGGTGTCCACTTGGGGTCCACATGGCATCCACTTGGGGCCTGTATCCTGGTCATGACCTCAGTCCTGGGGCACAGTGAGCCAGAGGCTCAGCCCTGACAAGCATCGAGCCTGGCTTAGAGAGGGGCTTGATTCCAGGCTCAGAGGATCACTAGAGGGTGTGAAGCATTTCGGCAGGAACCATGGGATTGTCTCTCAGCCCCCTGTGCTGGCCTGGGTTGGGCACAGAGTGGAGTGGCCCAGTGCTGGCCTAGCTGGGGTGGAGGGCTCCAGGAGAGGTGGGCCCTGAGTGAGTTGGGATCAGAGGAAGGAGTCATTGGTATAATTCCCCACCTACCTGTGGGCTGGTCCCGGCCCAGTTCTCCCACCTCTGGGGCCCCGCTTCTGCCCCCTGTGATCTTCGTCTGAGCTGAGAGCTGCCCAGGCCCTGGGCTCTTGTTGTAATAGGGAAGAACCTTTTGTATTTTATTCCAAGTTAATCACTAAAGGGATGTTTCCTCTAAGCTTAAATTATACATAGTGGCCCATCTCTGGGAACCCTGCCTCCCAGGTAATGAGCGTTAAGCTAAAATACCTCTATTTAGCTCACAGGAAACATCCTGACCAGGCCCACCTGTGAATGACTACAGGGAGGAAGAAATTAACACCTCCCCTCCAGAGGCTGATGGGAAACAGGAAGTGTTTAACTTTACTCCCTCCCCTTCTAGTATAAAAGAAGCCTGAATTCTAACTCAGGCAAGGTGGTTCTTTGGGGTCAGGAGTCCACCATCTTCTCGGTTAGCTGGCTTTCCAAATAACATCACTATTCCTTGCCCAAACAACTTGTTTCTCTATGTTTTGGCCTCTCGTGTGGTGAGCAGTACGAACGTGGACTCAGTAACATTGTCTTCCCTTGCATGTCAAGGCAGGAGCCTCCATGAACTCCCTGGGCAATGGGACTAATCCCTGCTCCTGCCTCAGAAGAGGTGATGCCTCCAGTGGGCACACCTTGGTTCTGCTGAGCCCTCCATGCTGATCTGAACAATATAACAAGACATGACGCTTGCAGAGCTCTCACTGGTGCCAGGCTTCGTACCAACACCTTACATACTTTAACTTATTCAACCATCTCCCAACCCAGTTAAGTAGGTGCAATTATTATCCCCATTTTACAGATGGGGAAACTGAGGCCCAGGGGGATTAGGTCACTCGTTCAAGGTCACATAGGCCATAGCTGTCGGGCTCTGGGTTCCTCCCAGTGAACCTTCACCTATGGTGACTGCTGTGGTTGTTTTCTTCAGGAGAATCCCTTCAAGGAAAGGATTGTGGAGTCTTTTTCTGAGGATGGCGAGGGGAACCTCACCTTCAACGACTTTGTCGACATGTTTTCTGTGCTCTGTGAGTCGGCTCCCCGCGACCTCAAGGCAAACTACGCCTTCAAGATCTACGGTAACGAGGGCCTGGAGGAGGGGCTGTGATGCTGCGTGAGGGTGGTGGCATTCCATAGGCCATCTAGTTACTGCTGGTTCCTGCCGCGGGGACGCTGGGGACACCAAGAACACTCTGAAGAGTGCATGTCCAGCACAGTGGCCAGTGGGGACAACTAGTGCATAAGAGACGTCTGCAGGGTTCTGAGAGCAGAGGAGGGAGGGACCCACTCCACCTAGGGCGGGTGGTTAGCGTGAGGAGAATTCACACGTGGTGACATTTCAGCATGGCCTCAGAGGACAAGAGGAGATTTGTCAACAGGAGAATGGGGGTGGGTATACCTGGTAGAGGGAGCACCACAAAGCACAGGGCGTGGTGAGAAGGTGGGGAGACGAATGTGGTGAGATGAGGGCGGTGTGATTCTGGAGAGGTCACTGGGGCTGGGCTGTGAGGAGCCAGCCAAGGAGTTTGGGGGCCACTGCAGGGTCTCAGGTGAGGCCAGGAAGCCCAGTGTTCTAGAAAGATCACTCGGCATCCTGGAGGAGCTAGACTGGCAGACGCTAGGGTTCTGGAGGGGAGGCCTCTGCTAGGTGGTGAGGCTGGGCTGAGAGGTAGGCTCCTAGGTACCCCCTCCCACCTCTGCAATTGCTGCCAGGGGTAGGGTGGCCTCGTTTCACCCCAGCCCAGCCCAGGACCCACTGTCCCACTGGCCACCAGAGGGTGCCGAGTACCTGCGAAGCTTTTGGTTTCTCCCATGGTGATAGTAGAGAACTTCACGCTGCAGAGCTCGTATGCACTGAGCCTGACAGCAGCTGGGACTGGTGTCAAACCCTCAGACAGTGCTCAGATGGAAACTTTGAGGCCCAGGGAAGGTCCATCCTGGACCAGAGGAGCCACAGACAAACCTCCTGTGCCCAGCATCTTTCATCAGCCAGGGGATCCCAAGGCAGTGGGGCCCATTGGGCTGTTTTTTCATTTTGTAGTTGTCACGTTTATTTCAGGGGACTTTGGTCTACATATATCTCTGCACCCACATTGTGTTTGCACGTCAGAGGCATGGTACCCGCCTTGTCTACCCTTAACAAACTACGCCCACAAGGTTCAAGTAAAAAGCTTCTCGAATTCCAACCATCATCCCCCTAATGTTGGACCCCATGGCGTTGCTTCTGGGAAGGCTGTAGTCTGCCAGAGAGGGGAAGTGCAGGGCACACAGCCAAGCAGGCGTGGGGACAAGTGAAGGGAGAACCAGGGCTCCCCTACCACCCTGGACTGGTGGGTGGAATGGAGAAAGGCAACTGGGACCTGGAGTTTGGTGCTGGGGGGAACTGGGGCCTGACCTCTAGCAAGGATCACCCACTTCCTTGACCTTTGTTTCCCTGAAGAATGAATGGAGTCTCCTGGACAGATAAATGGGAAGGGCGCTCCAGACAGAAGAAATAGCACTTGCAAAGATCTGATAGTTGGGTTGAAAGGCAGTCAGAAGGGTGTTCGAGTTTCCTCTGTTGAGCTTGTGTGTGGCTCGGCCCTCTGAACATTTTGCTGAGCTGTGGACAGTGGTAGTGCCTTTTACCGAGTAGAATCAAACCATGTTCCCTGCTCTTTGTGCACAAAAGGCAACCACAGGGCCTCTCTCTGGGGGGGCTTCTGAGTCTTCTGACCTCCGTGTCTGGCTTGGGACCAGAGGCAATGCGGTACAGTTTAGAAAACACAGGTCTTAGCGTCGAACAGGCCCCGGTCAGCATCCCAGCTTCCCCTCCAACAGCCATCTGAATCAACAGACCTTGATTCAGTCACTCGGCCTTGCCAGGTCTTGGTTCCCTTAGCTTTAGAGGGAACACAGGGTCCACCATGGGGCAAGGCCAGGAGAGCCGTTTAGCCTGGGCCCAAAGTTCCCAGGAGGCCTCAGATTTGGACGTTTGAAGTGTGTCAGGCCAAGGCTGGGCTTGCCGTCATGGTGGGGGTTTGTGCAGACTGTGAATGTGGATTTGTTGAATGTGGTGTTAAGAGGTGCCTCGTGAGTGAGACCCCCTGGTCCCTGTCAGCTGAGGGCAAGGATCCAGTGTTCCCAGAGTGTGCACAGAGGGGCCAGGGAGGTATCTGGTGTGGCCAGCTCAGAGGAGAGTGGCCTGAGCGTCCCTGACCCCACCCCACAGACTTCAACACCGACAACTTCATCTGCAAGGAGGACCTGGAGCTGACGCTGGCCCGGCTCACCAAGTCGGAGCTGGACGAGGACGAGGTGGTGCTCGTGTGCGACAAGGTCATTGAGGAGGCCGATCTGGACGGCGACGGCAAGCTGGGCTTCTCTGACTTCGAGGACATGATCGCCAAGGCCCCCGACTTCCTCAGGTGCCCTCCCGAGGGTCTAGCATGGGCAGGGCAGGCCTGAATGGGGGCCGCAGCCAGGAGACCCCGCGGGGCTGAGGCACTGTCACTGCTCCCGAGAGCAGTGGTCCCGGCAGGCTCTGTGTGGGCCGGGAGGCAGGTCACATTCCAGGCCCAGCTGCCCTCAGTGTGTGACTGGGAAGTCCTCTGTCCCCAGCAGGGCCGGTCTCTGGTGAAGGATAGAGACTGGGGGCCCTTTAGTTATGTCGGGGGTTGGATGCCCTGGGCACAGCTGGTCCTCCAGGCCTTCCTTCCCTCGTGCAGATTGTTTGCATCCTCTGCACCCTCCTGGAGGAGCTGTCCAGGGTTGGGTGCGGGGCCTGGTTGGCTTTCTACTGAGGACCTTTACCCACCCAGTCCAGAGCCTCTCAGCCCCTCTTGCTCTTTCTCTTTCCAGCACTTTCCACGTCCGGATCTGAGGACAGTGCCGAGGTTACAGGGGCCAGAAGTCGACCATCCAGCTCTGCTGCCTACACGAGTGTGACATCCAGCCTCCTCAGGAGAGGAGCTGTGGCCTCTGGGGTTTACACCCACACACATTTCCTTGGCCCTTTCAGCAAAAAATCCTTAACCAGGGAAGGGGGGATGTGAGGGGCAGGGCCTTTCCCAGTCCCCCTGTGGTCCCTCCACAGGTCTTCCTTCTATCCCCCCAACCTTCCCCACACCCTGGTCCTCTCCCCATCAGAAATGGCCCTACTGGGAGGGGAAAACAGAACCCCTAACAGGGCAGGGGTGCTGACTTGTCCAAGTTCTGGGAAGGCACCCTGGTTGCCCAGGGCAAAGTGAAAAAAAAAAAAAAGGACAAGGTTTAACGAGCTATGCAATCTTTCTCCAGAACCCACAGCTGGGCTATACCCGACCCCGCCTGTTCCTTCTCCCCTGACCCTTCCCAATGTGAAGCTGTGTGAACAGTGGGTCCAAGGGCTCTGTCCCTGTCTCTGTCCAGGACCTGAACACCACCCCATCTGCCTTCCCCAGTGACGTGGAATCCTCACTGGTGTGTGCTGTCCACAGATTTGTGAACTCCTCGTACAGTAAAACACTTTCATGTCCCCGTGTTCTCTGTGTCTGCCAAGGTTAGGAAATATTCACTGTTCCCTTTTCTCCTTGAAATTCCACCATTAGCAATTCACGTCTCTAAGCATTGCCTTCCCGCTTTAAGGCACCAACTTTTATTTCAGTGCTTAGGTCCTTAAGGGGAAGACACATCTGTGCCCCAAATCTTCGAATGAGCACCGTGAAGAGATGTTGGGTGAAAACCGTTTCCATTTCCCTCATAGTGATAGTCATTCCAGTGAAGATTTATGGAGTACGAACCATGTATCAGGTACAGGGTGACCAGATCACATAGGGATGGCCAGCAAGCGCCCACTGGCTGGCTCCCCAAACTGCCCAGCAGCGCCCAGGCTGACCCAGGCGGCCAGCCAGGCTTGGGCCTGCCTTAGGAGGGGTGACCAACTGTACAGCCTTGAGCAGGCTGCTCATTTACTCTCAGTCCCTACAACCCCCCTGGGAGGTAGGGACTCTTAGAGCCCCATTTCTCAGAGGGAGACGCTGCATAGCCAAGAGGCCGCTGTGGGTAGGTTTTCCCCACAAATGTGAACTGAGCCAACTCTGCCCAGGGAGGGAGCCTGAGGCGGGCTGCGGTGTTCTCTCTGGGGAGGGTTAGTTGCCTGGGGGCAGTGGGCAGGGGGCAGCAGCCCAACTGCTCACCCTTATGGAGGTGGGGACACATGGGTATGAGGGGGAGTGGGATCCCAAGGGAAGGGGACAGAGGAGCCAGGCTGACCTGAGGAAATGGCTGTAGTGAGAGGCCTGAGGGCCCCATGTGTAGAGCTGATGCCTGGGCAAGGCCTAAGGGCCACCAGGTGGGGTCTGGGTCTCATGGGAGGGGTCTGAGAGCCACCCCTAAAGGCCAAGGCTGGCTGGAGGCAGAGGGCAGATGAGGGTGACCTGGTCAGATAGGGACGCCAGCAAGTACCCACTGGCTGGCTCCAGAAACGGACCAGCAACGCCCAGGCTGACTGACTGGCAGGTGGCTGCTCCTCTCCGGGTCTCCGTCTCCCCGATCTGCAGCAAAAAGGGTCAGACTAGGGTCTGCCCAGCTTGCATTATGAGGCTGGGATGAAGGTGGGGGCAGAGAGGGGCTGAGGGGATGGTCCCTGGGAGCCCAGGTGCCCCAGGGTCAGAACCATCACCTCCGGGGACGGGGCTTTGCTGCTACTTTCCTGGTTTCTTGCCCCAACCCCCCTGGGGCAGGAGCAGGGATGTGGCCCTGGGCCCTCCCTCCTTTCTGCTGATGGGGCCACGAGGAGGGGGACTGGTTGGTCTCAAGAGCAACTGAATGAATGACATCACTCAGTCAGTTAGGAAAATGCCAGCGCTGCCACGGGGCCTGCCCCACGCTCAGTAAGTGTTCAGTGGTGGGAAGTCAGCACGGTCAATCCGTCCAGGCCCAGCCTGCTCATCTTGGAAATGCAGGTGGCCTTTGGCCAGGCCCCACTCCTCTCGGGCCTTGATTTCCTCTGGATGGGTGGGAGGCACTGGGGAAGCAGGGCACAGCCCTGAGCTGCAGGCAGCTGGAAGGTCCCCTCCCATCCTGTCCCCTAGGCTGTCTCGGAGCCTTGTTCCAGAGCAGGCTGGTTCGATCTGAGGGCGCAAGGGGTGCCTTCAAGCAAGCTGAGAGCTTCCCAGTAAGCCCTGGCATAGCCCAGATACCGGGAAACCTGCTGGTGAGCTTCAGAAAGCCAGGCCTCCTCAGGATTTGCGCTTCTTGCCTGTGAAGAAGAGCCTCCGGAGCTTGTCAGGCTGCAAGGAGGGAGAAGATGCTAGCGCCTGGGCCCCTGGACAGGGAGGGGAGAGCCAGGCTCAGAGCATCCCCTGGCAGCAACTGGGGGCTGGAGAAAGGCCAGGCTGGAATACTGACAGTTGTTCCACCACCCCTCTCAGTGCCAGAAATTCCACTCCAGTCCTCTGGTTTGGATGAAGGGTTCGCCCTCTCTGGCTAAGGAGGCTAGGGGGAAGTGGAGAAGAAAGGCCAAGTCCGCCCTTCCCTCACTGGGGCCCCTGGGGTCCCCAACCCCAGCGCTGTCTGCCCCAGCCATGCCCTAGGTAGAACGGGGGTGGGGATGCACATGGTGCCACCAGGGACCGGAAGGACTTTGCAGCTAGAGGAAGAGCAGACATGGGTTGTGGCTTCTGTGGTTCTTAGAAGGGCTGTCTGCAGGCAGGATCTGTGGTCCCGGGCGTCAGGACCTCAGAGGCAGCCTTGCACCAGGCGAGCTCCCTGTCCTGGGGTGCGTGGGCACAGCCTTTCCCTGCGGGAGGAGCTGGCAGAGCTTCTGGTGAAGGCCTTTCAGCTGGGAGCTCGGGGTTTTGCTGTTCAAGCGGAAGAGGGGGTCTGCACGTGCCCGAGGCCTGAGGCTGTGCCCTCGGGGAGTGGGCTCTCCCAGCTCGTCGGCTCCAGGCCTAGGCAAATACGCTGGGGCTGAGGGTCCAGGAGGGTTCCTCTGCCTCCCTGGGAATCCTGACCGCCTCCCTCTGCCCTCCTGATCCCTGCTTCCCCTTTTCTCCTTTCTTATCAGAAATCCCCAGGAGTAACAGCTGCTCACTGACAGCCATCTCTGGGCTGTGTCCTGAGCACATAAGGATGTCTAGCTTCACCTCCTGGGCAGCAGCCCCTGGACACAGCCATAGGACCAGCCCATTTTACAGATGAGGAAATGGAGGTCCTGGATAGATGCTAAATAAGAATACAGGATGCCCGCTTAAATTTGAACTTCAGATAAATGAGGAATAATTGCACTATTGGGGCCATAGTTATGCTTTAAAAAATTACTCATTGTTTATCTGAAATTCAAATTAACTGGGCATCTTGTGTTTATCTTGCTAAATCTGGCAATCTTAGTTGTGGGGGGCGGGGAAGGGCGGGGAACTATCTTGCCCAAAGCCATGTGGCTAGGGAGTGGCTGAGCCATGAAAAGGGCCAAGGCAAGTCAGACCTGGAGCCAGGGCCCTTGTCCACCTCTCTGAGGCTCTCAGATGTTTGCAGTGCCAAGAGGGAGGGACAGGAGTCCTAGTCTGCCACAGAGAAAGACATCAGAAGGGCCTGGAAGCCTCCATCTTACATCCAAACCTAACATCTGCCTCTCCCACCATCTCTAAGCAGAAGTTAGGGCTGGAAAGTTCTGGGCAGTGGCAGTGACCTGACCTGCCCACACCTGAGGGCCACAGGTCCCTCCTACCACCCCATCCATGGAGCCCACCTTATGTCTCCGTCCAGTCTTCTTGCTCCTGGCTGCCAGGATTTGTTCATAGGTGTTCCCGGGCTCTGGGAGCTCTGGGGCCCCCAATATCCTCTCATAGCCACAGTCTGTGGACCCTGAAAGCTTGCTATATGTGGGACTTGCTCCAGGATAGGCGGGCCTGGCTGGGCCACCCCAGCAGACTGTGATCTGCTCGTAGGTACTGCTGCCTTCTTGGTCTGGCACATCCCTGGCCTCCTCTAGGAGGCCTTCTGCCCAGATGAGCTCATAGATGTCTGCAGAACGGCTCAGTTTTGGAGACCCCTGACCCCTGACTCCAGGTAGCAGCTGAGGATCCTAGAGCCTCAGAACTGGGGGGCAGGAGAAGGCCCCAAGAAGTGGGAGACACTCTAGGGCCCTGGTCTGAGCTCACCCCAGAGAGGGCAGGTCCTGGGCCATCAGGCTTGTTCTGGCTTCCATCTGAGAGTCTCCTCAGGGCCTCCTTGCCTGGGGAGAAGGCCTGGCTGCTGGCTGGAACTGGCCCCTGCCTGCCAGACACATCTGTGCCCCGGCCTAGCCGTGCCTGGTTCATCCTTCTCAGGTCTGCATAGATGATGTTGTTGGGGCCTCCAAAGGACTCATCCAGAAGGGAAGCACTCCTCTCCGGGAGGGGAGGCACCTTGACGGGGGCCTGGGGAGAGAACGACAGAACCTCTTAGAGGTTACCCTGTCACTAAGTTGCCTTCTGGTAAACTGCAGGTCTCTCAGAGAAGCTGAGGCCCCTTGTCTTGGGCTCAGTTTACCTCACTGTTACGTGCAGGGGTTGGTTGACGTTCGGGGTCCCTGCCAGCTTCATGCTCTAGGACTCTGAGTATGGTCCTTATGTTGGCATTCAAGGCCAGGGGTCACGAAATCTACCTCCCACCCAAGATCATCCTGCCCTGCTCCTCTCCCCCCCAGAGTGGTGGTCCCTCAGAGCCCCCTGAGCCCACCCACTCACTGCTCCCTTCCCCTTCAGAATGGTCCACCCCCAAGTCCATCAGTTGTGTATTTATTCAACAAATATTTAGTAAGCACTGTGTAGACACCGTCCTAGGTGCCAAGGGCTCAGTGATGAGCAAGACCACCTCTTGGGAGTTTACATTCAAACCTGGAGATGGGCAACATACTGCTCTGTTGTATAGTTTAATGTGGTTGATGTCATATATGATACAATAGTATATCACAAGATAATATACTGTCAGCTCATGATCAGTACTATGAAGTAGAACAAAGCAAAGTAATGGGATAGGGAGAAGGGCTGGAAGGAGAGGGGATATTTTCTATAGTTTAGGTGGTCCTCTCTGAGGAAATGACATTCAAGCAGAGAATGGAATGCAGTGAGAGTAGAAGCCATGCAGATGTCTGGTGGGAAGAGCATTCCAGGCAGTGGGTACAGCAAGAGCAAAGGGCCCTGAGGTGGGAACGAGGTTGATGTGTTCAAGGGAGATCCAAAGGCCAATGAGGTTAGAGAAAAGTGAAGAAAGGGGACAGGTAGCAGGGCACCTGGTGAGGCTCTTGTGGACCCTGGTGAAGATTTCAGATTTTATTTTAAACATGAGGAGAAGCCCTCACTGTGATCTGATATATAGTAAGAAAAATCTCCGTGAGTCCCTCCTGTGAGTTGCTGTGGAGGAAAATAAAGTATTGACTCACAGGCATCCCACTCTACAGTTTACAAAGGGATTTTTCTGACATTTCATATCCATTCCCTCATTCAAGCCTCACAGGAACCTCAAGATTGGTAAACTGAGGCTCAGAGAGGTTATGTGACTTGTCCAAAGTCACTCAGCTAGAAAGGCCAAGCCAAGGTTTGAACCAAATCCACCGGCCAGAGGCAGGCCACAGCATGGGTGAACCACTGGGTAATTCCAAGCTGGGCCGCTCCTCTCTGGGCCTGGCACTCACCCTCCGCAGCCTGAGGGGATGGCCGGTGTGGCCTCTCCGGGCCTGATGGTGGACGTGGCACCCACATTCCTGGTCTAGCAAGCCCGACTCTGGGTAGCCCAGAATCATCCTCACCTCCATGCTTTCTTCCTTGGGGAGGTTCCAGGGGCTTGCATCTAGGCTCTTCTTTTTGTAGATGAAGGACACCTGGGGCTTTGAAGAGGGGTGGGGGCTGGCAACCTTGTCTGGGACCACCGTGGGGGACACTGCAGCAGGTGGGTTTTCCAGGCCCAGATTGGTCTGATGGAGGCCCAGGGTGATGGCGTCATATAGATCACTGTTCTCTAGCTGGAGGCAGTGGGGGCACAGCAGGTGTGTGGTCATACACCCCTGGCCAGCCTCTAGCCTCCTGCCAGAGACTGCTGGCCAGAGATTGAAACATTCCCACCAGGTCCCTGACCTCAGGTAGAATGCTTCCTCCATCTCCCCTTCTCAAATAGGGACCATGACCCTGCACTGAGTGCCCCTGGGTGGTAGGAAATACGGAAGGCAAGGAAAGGCATGTGGTTGAGTGGTGGACACCCCTGGCCCAGGCACCCTGTCCCACCCCCTGCCCCCCGGGGAAGAGAGGTACCTACCCGGGGGCAGGCAGCAGCCAGGGTCTCCCCGAAGGGCTCAAACTGCACTTCCTGGTAATGGCGCACGAGCTCAGCCAGGGTGCCGTGGCTCTGGGTATCCCCTGAGATGAGGTAGCGCCGGTTTTGGAGCTGGTTGATGACAAAATGCCGGCAGTGGTCACTGCCCCTGCAACACTTGTGGCCTGGGGCTGCTGACAACCGGCAGCCCCGCCTTGGCCCAGGGCCGGAGCTAACCCGGGGCCGTGCTGCCCACTTGGGCCTTGACGTGTTCCTCTATAAAGTGGAACTTGACATCCAGCAAACACAGCCTTGCAGGTGATAGGGAGCGGTTTTTCAACGCGCACCCCCCCCCGCCGCCCCCCCGCACATCAGTCAGGGAGGAAAGGGCCAGGGCCGGGGTTAAGGGGGAGTGAGGCACTCAGCTTGGAGCATGGATGCAAATTTAAAGGGATGCCACAAAACTTAGTAATCAAGGTAACTAATAATGCAATATTTTAGAAAATCAAAATTAATACCCAAATATCCATGATGAAATATCTAAAATATCTAAGGCTTAAAAGATGAGGTCCAAGCCCACACTTGCACAACTCAGCCTTACTCATCTTACCCAAATCCCGGCCAGGCCGAAAAGATGGAGTTCCAGCTCCCATCTCCACTCCAGCCTGTAAAGTCCCACCCTCTTCATTTTCCTTTTTTATGGAAGAGTAACGTAAACACAGTGAAGTGCACACGTCCTAAGTGTGCAGCTCCATGAACTTCCACATATGAACATTCCCAGGTAACCATCGCTTAGAGCAGAACAAAACATTTTCTGGCTCCCCAGAAGACTCACTTGTGGCTCCTTCCAGTCAAACGTAGCCACCACTCTGACCCCCATCACCATAGATCAGTTTTGCTTGTTATGGAATTTCACCTAAATGGAATCATACAGTATTTCTTTTTTGTGTCTGGCTTCTTTCACGCAACATTATATCTTTGAGATTGATTCATGTCCATGTACAATTAGCTTCCTTTTTCACCCCATTGATAGGTAGTGTTCCATTTAATTAAGTCCACAATTTATCCATTCTGCTGATGAACACTTAGATTATTGCCACATCTGGGCAATTATAGATACAGCTGCTCTGAATATTCTTGTACATGGCTTTTGCTGAATATATGTATTCATTGCTATTGAGAATATCCCAGGGAGGAGAAAGGGGTGAGGGATACATGTATGTTTAGCTTTAGTAGATTATGCCGAATTGTTTTCTAAAATCATTGCCAAGTATGAGAGTTACAGTTGCTCTGCATCTTCACCAACTATTAGGTAGCCTCTGTCTTTCCACTGTAGCCATTCATCGTGGTTTTAGTTTCTATTTCCCCAATTGCGATTGCTAAAGCTGCTGAACACCAGCTCACTGTCCTTTTGGACCCTCTTTTAGGAAGTGCCTTTATTTTGCCTGTGTCATCTTTGTCTTATTGATTTGCAAGAGTTCTTCATATAGTCTGGATATGAGTCTTTTATTAGGTGTATGTATTACAATACAAAACCTCTCAGGCACTGTGGCTTGTCCTTTTATTCACTGAATGGTATCTTCTGATGAACAAAAGTTCTTAATTTTAAAGAAATTCAATTTGTTAACCTTCTCTTTTATGGTCAGTACTCTTGTGTCTCGTTTAAGAAATCTTTGCCTGTCTCAAGGTCATGAAGAATATTTCCTATGTTTTCTTTTCCTATGTTTTCTTTTGCTTTTCTCACTTGGGTCTGTGAACCATCTAGAATTAATTTTTGTGTATGGTGTGAGGTGGGGGTCATTTTTTTCCTTTTGGATATCCAATTGCTCCTGTACCACTTAATGAAAAAACCAGCCCCCCTATTCCCCCCCCCCCCCCCCCTGCTGAATTGCAGTGGTGCCTCTGTTGCAAATCAGGTAACCAAATGTGGGGGACTGTTTCTGGATTCCACTGGGCTATTTGTATATCTTTGTGCAGCCCCATTTTGATCTCTTTAATAAGCTGGCACTCCACCTAAGATCATGTTTGAAAAAAAAAAGCCCTGACGCTGAAAAGACATTTGAAAACTGCTGAGTTTGTATATTTCAAAGTGCTGAGGACCATACCTGGCACATAGAATAACAATCACTATTTTAATAATGACTAACATTTATTTATTTACTATGTTCCAGACACTGTACCAAGCACTTTTAAAGGTATAAACTCATCAAACCCATTCAACAATCCTATGCAATATACCCATTTTACAGATGAGGAAATGTAGGTGCGGAGAGGCAAAGTGACTTGCTCAAGATCAGAATTTGAACTGGGAAAATCTGAGCATATGATAATTTTGAATCTGAATCTGAGGCCTTTGAGATTTGCCCTGGAGCCCCAGCCTCCCTCCCTCCCTAACTAGGGGTGGGGGAGGGAACTGCTTCCTTTTTCTGCCTCCCCCGACCCAACCTACAGGCTCTGACGTCATCACCTCTGACTTCATCCTGGCCATCTTGTCTCCTCTTCTCCATGCCCACTGCCTTACCCTAGCCCAAGCTTCCTCATCTAGCCCACACCTCACCCCTCAGTGGTCCCCACTGCCCCCACACCTCCAGCACCTGTCTTGAGTCCTCCTTCCATAGGCTGCCTGAAGTATACTTGCAAAACCTAAGTCTGACCAGATGACCCTTCATTGTCTACAGACATAGCCAGGCATCCAAGGCTGTCCTGAGCTGCCCTCGGCCTTCCTCTCCAGGCATTGTTCCACTGGAACCATGTGTCCTTCTGCACCTGGCAACTTGTAGCTCCCAACACCTCAGTCTGCCCTGTCTCTGTTCTTTTGCGTATGCAGTTCAATCTATTGGAAAGGCCTTCCTAACACCTCCTTTTCTGGCCAGCAAGTTGCTGTTCTTCCTTCTATCCTGGGCTCAAAATCCACCTCTGTGAAGCCTTCCCCAGCCTCCGATCAGGAGGAGTTTCTCCCCTGCCCGCCACCAACTCACCCCCTTGAAGGTGGGTGCTTCATCCTAGTATATGGCTGCTGCTGTTCAGAAAATGTCTGATGGACATGGACGGATGACTGAGGGAGTGAGGGAGTCAGGGCCCAGGGAAAGCCCAGCAGTGTGGGCTGGTGGAGATTCCAAGCTTATCTGCAAGTCTGGCTTGTGGAGCCAGAGCCCGCCTGCCCTTTGCAGAGGGCTTCCTTTCTTACCTGTAGGACAAGATGTAGCCGGTGGCCCGGTCGCTGAGGCGGATGAGGAAGGAGCCAAGAGCTTTGTCCCTGAGCAGCTGCTCTGTCTGCCTGGGCAGAGGACATGCCATTAGCTGGGGCTGGGTCCCCACAACAGCAGGAGCAGCCTGACTTAGACCAGCCTCAGAGTCCCTGCCAGCCATGCCCCAGACCCAGTGCACAGATCTCCAACCCTTTATAGAGAACTCCCTCAGACTTTTGCCTGGTTCTGTGGAAGATTCAGTCTGGGGCTGGCTGGGCTGGAATCCTGAGGTCACATACACACACCACCACCCCCACAACTGCCTCACCAGCAGGCACAATAGCCACTGACCCTCTCCACCTGAATGTCCCTGCAGCAAGAAGGAATCCATAAAGCTGGAGATTTTTAGGTTTGTGGGATCCTTGCCTCAGGACTGCTGTGTACAGTTGTGCAGGATGTGTACTACACAGTAGTTTCTGCGGGGAGAAGGCATTGGTATGTCTGGAGCCTGACCACAATGGCAACTCATAGGTTCTCATGCCCTTCCCTTGCATGTCCCCTTCAGGATAGTTCTAAATGATGCCAAGGATTTTGGAGGCATGGTGGAAATTCCAGCTGTCTTCTGGTTTGGCAGTACATAGACCAGATATTTCCTCACCCACTTATTCACCAAATACTTGCTGAGTGCCTGCTCTATGTGGGACCAGCTACAAATTTTGCAGGGGTCAGTACTAAATGAAAACCTGGAGCCCCTTACTCAAAAAGTAAGAATTTGAACAGAGCAGAGGGCCCTGTGTTACAGCACACGTCAACGCCCGTGAAGCTGTGCCTGCTTCAATGCCAGGTGCCGGTCCAGGAGAACCTAATGAGTGGCTGCATTTGTCATTCCTTCAGCTAGTGCTTTGGCAGCTTGGAGATCCAGCCCAATCAGAAAGCCAGCCTCCACATCTTGGCCCTTATTCCTGGAGTAACTCTATATCCAGGTTCGCCTGGGAGAGTCCCCACTTAGAGCAGTTCTCCTAGTTAAGTCCTCTTACTAACAGTGCTCTGGTTTGGATGATGAATGAAACAGTCCCCGGATAACATCAGGTTATCTGGAGCTGTTCTGAACGCATTCTTCTCCAGCCTGCCCCTCTCTGTTTCTCTGGCCGCCTGACAGCCCCAGCCATCCCAGCCCTACACTCAGAGCCGGGGCCAGTGCCTTCACCCACCTTGC